ATATATATATATATATATATAGTCATGGGACGTGGAATATAGTGTGGGAGTGGAGTCAAGGGAATTGTAATAGATATGTATGATATTGGGAGGAAGTGGGACGGCGGATTGGGGGAGGGGGGTTGTCACTTCGAGAGGTAAAAAGTAGAACTATTGCACTGTGTTGTACAGCTGAAACTAATACTAAAAAATGTGTATTTCATAATAAAAAATCATTAAAAGAAAATATGTCCTCAATAAGATATCGAAGAAAATTTAAAAAATAAAAAAAATGTGTATTTCATAATAAAAAATAATTAAAAGAAAAAAAAGAGTTTAGGTATAAATCCTCAAAAAAAAATAAAAAAGAAAGAAAAGCAAAAGAATGATATAGGCAAAACTCAGGAAAGTGTTTATCACTTGGGGTATATGAATTAGGGACAGGGGTTCAGGGGGGGTCTCAAAGCTGAGTACTCTCATACAGAAGTATTCAGTTTTAATGCTATTTAAACTGCACATACATGTCTTAATCATTTTCTGTATGTTAAAATATATTTCACAATAAAAAATACTAAGAAAAATAAGCTGGGGTAAGAGTCCTGATTTCAGCACTTATTAGGTGTATGATCTAATGTGAACTCAAGTAATCCCAGCTCGCAGACTTTGTGGGGACTCTGAAGTAATGTGTGTTGAAGTGATTTGCACACTGTAAAATGTTAGAGGAGCTCTTGTTATGGCTAGTTTTGTAAGTTAAGGCCTCCTGGGGCAATGCCTTTATCTGGAAGGGAAGGCTCCTCAGCTTTTTGAGGACTTTCAGATCCTACTTTACAGCTAGGCCAACTATGCATATCCCTTTCGGCCTTCGGGACCCCGCCTCTAAAATGGACTGGGGACATCTAGGGACGAAAGACAGCCAACCCTTCAAGGGGGCTGAACAGAAGCAAAAAGTGAGGCAGCAAAAAGTGGTGGGGCAAGCTTTTGCCTCCCCAGTTAGCCTGCTCTGGTCCCACTCAGGTCCCAGAGGTACACTCACCAGCAGTCAGGACCTGTACTTTCCACGGGTGAGCAGTCAGGGCTCGCTGGTATGCTCGCCAGAGTGCCATGCTTCCTGTCAAGCCAAGAGACCGGGTCACCCCCCTAGGTCACTCCCCCTCAAATAAAGAGACGCTTGACTTTCCCTTGTGCCCACTCCCCCTCCTCCTAAAGGGGCGGAGGCCTCTGGAAGGAAACTTCCTGAACGGCTTCCTGTCACAGAAGTCGCATGAGACAATCAGGGAAGAGAGGAAGGCGGTGAGCAACTGTGGAATCCCGGTGGCAGCCACCCGCATCCCATCCCCAGCCCTCAAGCTGGGCCACTTGGGGGGGTGGGCCTCCTTCCCGACGTAGGCAGTCTGAACAGGTTTGCTCTGGCTTTCATCCAGAGCCTGGTCGGTCCCGATTCAGACTCTTAACGGGAACCAGCCCGCATCCCTCCTGAGTCCAGTGCCACTAGAAACTGGGCCTGGAATTGTCACATGCGGTGTGGGCGCTTGGAGATCTGAACCCGTGACCGCGGAACAGAGGCTACTCACCTGGGCGCGAGCTCAAGGCCTCCCACGTGACCTGAGCGGGCGGAGACTTCCGCCGTGAGCCCCGCCCCTTCCGCCTGGCTGGCCCGGGGGATTTCCCCTGCAGCCGGAGCCGAAATGGGAAGGGACTGAACGCTAATACCCATGGAAAGCGGCTCAACTGTCTGTGAGCAACCCTTTTCCAAGTGGACTGAGCCAGGTCTTGGTGTGGGCCCCGGCTGTCATACTTGCCATCTGGGTCTGACCTCTGCCTCCTGGTCTCTCTCCCTGATGCCCTGGCTTCTCAACCTGTGTAGAACCTCATTTTTCCCATGCCCTGGAACTGACCAGGGTCCTGATTTCCTTCTCAGTCTCAGCTGAGAAACTATAAGCGATAGTTGTGTACTTACTTTTTTAGTGTCTCTAGGTTCTTCAGTAGTCTCAATTGTGAGCTCCTGAATGGGTGGAATTGGGTCTTGTCCTTGTAGCAACTAGTTCAGTGCTTTGACCACAATAACGTCTAGAAATGCTACGTAAAAATGGCTCCTCCATGGAAAGCATTGGGATTACAGAACTGGTTTAGGTACTGGTTTCCTAACTAGAGGGCTGTGCAGCCTTGGTCATCACTAGATTTGAACTTAAGTTTCCTCATCTGTAAAATGAGGGGGGTGGACTTTGTTCCCCAAACTGGGCCCCAGTTCTAGGGGTTTGTTTGTGAGGGTGTCTATCACTAGATTCTTCACTTCAACTTTAAAAATATGTATTTCTAGAAAGAGCCACTTTTAAACAAAGGGGACCACAACTAAAAGTGTTTGTAAACCAATAGGTTCAGTGATTTTTTTTTTAAGTAATGAAAGAGCAGTTTATTAGAAGAAAAAGTACACTTCAAAGAAATAGAAGTGGACCCGAGCAGAAAGCAGTGGCTCAAGGGCCCATTATTAGAAGAGAAAGGACACTCCAAAGAGTTTGGAACAGGCCGAGCAAAAGGAGCTCAAAAGGCTGGTGTTAATTACCCTCTCCAGCTCTAAAATCTTGTGAATATAGTGCAACATCCTTTTTAGGGCGGAGAAAAATCCTACAAAATTCCTGGCAATGGGTATGTCAGCCTGGCAGCCTTTGCTTAACTATATCAAAGGAACCCACACTTCAGGAGGCAGCTATATCTGACCCTTTAAGGTTCTGTACCTGGCTACCTCCAGCCCCAACTGACTCAATTTCTACATGATTAAGGCAGGGAGAATCCTTGTCACAGATACTGGAGAAACACAATAAGGAAACAAGAGAATTTGATGTTACATTTAACTAAAGGCTCCTATATGCAAAACACCGTGCTAGACGAGTGAATATACACTAGTAAATATAATAGACCAAATGTGGAAGGTCGGAAAGTTTATTCTGAAGTCAGACTGTCTAGGTTCGAATCCCAGCACTATCACCTAGTAGTTAATATGATCTCATTCAGACTGCTTTACTTCTCAGAATCTTATCTTTACCAAGTAAAATCAGGCAATACCTAAGTAACATATACAAAGTACCTGAAATACATCAAGTGCTTAATAAACACTTGTATTTTCTTCCTTCCCTCTTGGGAAAACATAGGAAAGAGAATAACTTTTACTTGGTGAAGGTGGAATTTGAGCTGAGACCTTGAAAGATGAGTAGGACTTAGGTGGAGATGCTGGAAAAGGACACTCCTAGAGGAGGAATAGTGTGAGAAAAGGCACACAGTGCAGGAACTCATGGATAGTATAAAGTGGATATAATGAGGTGGTTAGCAAGGGAGTGGCCTGGGGAGAAAAGGGTTTATGGTAGAGAAAGAGAGCAAGGGCTGAAAGCACCTTCCTGGTTTTCTTTCGGAGGTCAAGACTAGGGCCAAGACTCAGCAGGAGCAGGGCTGCCAGCACCAATCTACAGCATTGGTCCCAGGTCCTACTTTTTTTTTTAACCACTGAAAGTGGGATTTCACAATGCCACTGCATTGGACTGCTGTGTAGAATGAGCAAAACTTCTCTGCAATGGAAAGCACTTCCCTACCAGTCAGCTCAAAACAGAACTGGCATAACCTGAACTGGATCACAATAGGATGGTGCAATACGGCTCCTATGCCCTGATGTGGATTGTGGTTCCTCCGCTAATGGTCTGGGTTGCCTCCAGGTCTGTTTCCTCTTCTGTACAGGAACGGAATCAAAGTACTTGATTTCTTTAAGATTTTCTGACATATGATAAATTCCCTACAATTAAGAGGCAGAAAGTTGTTCCCATATCAGTCTATAGAGTGCCAGAGGGCTTTGTTCCAGGTAGGCACTAAATGAATCTCCACTCCCTTCAATAGCAGCTGGCTGCACATTTTTCTCTATAATAGCTCCTGAGGTCATCTGACTACTTACCCAAACCTCAGATTGTACTCCTATACATTCCAAGTCTATGGTTTGCCTATTTCTCATTGCTAGGGCATGTCCTTGCTTAGGAGGCAGTACTGAAGTCATGATGAGTCTGCAGCATCCCACAAGAGGACTCTAACAAGATGAGCTATATTACAGCAGGCTTCAAATAACGTCATTTCATTCAACGTCGTTTCATTATAACGTTGATGAGATGCCACAGGAACTTAACTCTTCTTTCTATCAATTAGCCTATGGTAAAACTGGTTTCGTTACATATCATTTCACTTAAAGTCAAAGAACCTATCAATGATGTTAAGTGAGTACTTATGGTACATGACTGTACTTGGGTTCTAAACACCTCCTATACAGAGTTGAAATAAAGTAGCTGAACATGTTTAATAAGTCAACAATGTGACAGTATCATGAAGGATCAAAAACCATGACGTGTAAAGAATGGTTAAAGTAACTGAAGATGTTTAATCTAGAGGAGAAAAATTTGAGGAAACACGATAGCTATTTTTAACTACTTAAAAGGGCAATCACAGGGAAGAATGACTAGATTTCCTAATACCCATGGTAAAATCTATAGAGGAATACTCTCTGACTTGATATAAAGGAAGATGTTTTAAAACATGACTAGGAGTGTTCAAGTAGGGTCAGATGACCAGTGATCAGGAATATTTCATAAGCAGGAGCAAGATCTGAACCACTGTTTTACTGGTAGGGTGTTTGTGGTGTTCCTTAAAGAACCAGTATAAGCAACTTTAGTCCAATAAATTACTATCACCCCTTCATGGGCCTGCGTGTTGGTTACTCTAAAGAGGAAGCTGGGAAGGCAATAATATTGGATCCTGGAATATAGTCAGACAGGAGCCTTCATACAGATACCCTTTCCAGTTCTCCAAACACCCACTCACGTGGTCTCAAAAACACCCAGTACCTTTACTTAGGTTTACCCACTTCACAATATGCTCAATATGAGCAATTTGACTCCCAAGCCTAGGTGAGGCCTAAGTGTTTCTCATGAGCCATAGTTTTAGGCTAAGGAGCCTTAAGAGTTTGTGGAGGGCGAGCCCCCCTGCCCGCAGAGGGCTGTGATAACAGGAGAAGTCTGTGGAAGGAGAAGTATCTAAGGAGTCCTGGGGAGGCAGGTCTAAAGGTCCAGGCCTGGCAGCCTCACTGTCCAGGAAGGCCCTGGTTCCTATGGCCTGTGCATGGGGCCATTTGTTGTTGGCAGACTTCATTCCAAGGGTCCTGTGTGGACCACAACTAGGGAAAAGGCAGAATGCGATGGCTGGGTGGAGGGAAGTCAGGCTCTTGAGTAGGGGAGGGTGGTTGGAACACAGCACTGAAGTGGGCTTGGCTTTCAAGCTGCATACGGTGGCCCAGTGGGCAGGTGAGTCCACGGACAAAATGGATCCGAACCAGCCCTGACTGTCCCCCAGATACCAGCCATCCATAGGAGTCCAGGTTTGGGCTGAAACGTACCTGTGAAGAGAACAGAAAACAAAACAGAGATGCTCATAGTTGGTGCGTTGGGTGAATCCTACCTGTAAGAGCAAAAGCCATGGGCCACAATCTGAAAGGATAGCACCATGATGGGGTGAGAGAGGTAGGAATGAGAAGACAATGAATGAGGTATGTCTATCATGCTCTTGAAAGTGAGCCCTGCCAGAGCTCCTTTCCCTCCTTGGCCGTCTCTGTTCTTTCATCTCCCTCTTCACCGATCACAGGCCCTGGTTTGGAAGAAAATGAGAGTGAAGGGTGGGGAAAATGACAGCCCAGATTCTGACCTTATGAATAGCCTCCAGCTGCAGCCTGTCCAGGCAGAGCAGTGAATGCCCCTCTTCCTCCTGCATGCGTAGCATTGGTTCTCTTTGGAGCAGATCATGGAATGAACCCTGGGGAGGTGAAAGGTACCAGGAGAGAGAAAGTGAGCAGCTTCTTAGTTTTGCATCTTTGTACTGGAACTCCATAGGATTCCCTACTATACAAGGACTAAAGTTTTCTACTTTTCCTAATACCACACCCATGCTCCTGGCCTCAATTTACCAAATCTGTGTCTTGAAAAAGCAAGTAGTGATGGTTGACAGTTTCAGCATAAGTTCGAGCCTTGGGAGGGTTGGGAGTCCCAGATGAAGCTGAAGGGAGGTCTTGATCTTCAGAACTGTACTTATATGGCATCAGATCTGCTTTATATATAGGCTAGAAAGGAGACCAGGAGATTAGGTTCTATAATACTGAAGATAGAATAAAAGTAAAAGGGAGATAAAATTAGTTTTGGGCCAGATAATCTTTAAGATGGAAGAAAGTAGTATGTTTAAACATGTTCACATGCACTAGGGTAGCGGTGATTATGTGCAACTCTGTGCTAAGACTTCTAGGGATAATTGGGGATGGGAGACCTAGTACTAATTTGTACTCTACTACTAATTTGTAGTACTAATTTGGAAGGTCATGTGGATTAGGACCCAACAGATGGTGCTGCCATTAAATATTCATATACGTACGAATCTTCGCTCTACAGATCGCTTGACATTTACTGGGTTCAGTGCCATATCAGGTAATATAGCTGCAATGAGCTCCCCGGATATATCTCCTGCAGCTATTGTCCCAAGCCAGTCGGATCCTGAAAGACTCTAATAGGAAGAGACAGATTTCATTCATTCATTCATTCATTCATTCATTCATTCACTCACTCACATTCATTCAGTTCTATGAACTGGTGACAACTGCAGTCTGGGGGGGGAGAGACACACACACACAAACAAAAATGAGTTTATCATAACTCATATTCCTAATGACACAGTTACCACACACCTGTCTTCTATCCAAAACTACTGCTTCTTCCTGACCACCACTAAGTGAGTAAAGGAATTGTTTTCCTGTGTAAGAAGATTTCAAAGACGGGGACTCACCCAGACAGTGCCTTTTCGAGGAGCAGTGAAGTAGGCCTTGAAACCAAGGTAACCAGCATCAATATAATGAATCCCACAGAGTCCATAACTGTAAGAGAAAAAGAAAATAAAACCTTCCTTTCTCTAAGATTAGATTCATTTCTTCTTCCCACTTCCTTCCAGAACTCAAACTACCTCAACGAAACAACCTTCAACCCTCCTGTCCCCACAAAACTTTGGCACACTCTGCACCCCAGCCCTTAGGGCATGTCCCCAGGGCTCTTCCTATGTCCATCTGGCCGTACGAGGCATAGCAGTTATCCTGAGCCACAGTGACACCATTGTAGGGGAGCAGCCAGGCCAGCTCTGTACTCAGGAAGCGCTTGATAGAGTTTATTGGTTCATAAGGTCGTCGAAGGTCCCAGAATTTGATTTTCCGGTCACTCCCTGCAGAGACTATGAAATGACTGCGGAAAAATGGAAGAAGAGGGGGAAGATCAAAGCTGAACAAATCTAGAAGAGTCAGCCTGTCCCAGCTTCACCTCCCACCTCCGCAATTCTCCTATTCTGACCTGTTAGCTTTGCACCATTGAAGGGTACGCACGGCCTGGTCATGGGCTAGGAAACACTGGAAGGGGTAGAGCTTTAAAGAGCCATCAGAGAGCCGTATCCGCTGTAGGGGAGAGTTAGTGGGAAGGTTCCAGAAAACCACCATGCCTAAGGTAGGAACAGAATGTGTAGGTATTAAGACAGATTCTCTCTCCCTTGCTCTAATTTCTTTGTCTCTACCCTCAGATCTGATCCCTTCTGAAAGGATCTAGAGATCATGATTAGCTAGCCAACATTCCCCTTTATAGTTTAAAGACTCAATCTGATATTTTTCATTCTAATTCTCAGCAACAAAAAATTAACAGCTTAGTCTGGGACCTGCAGTTGAAATAGGTTGAATGCACCCGGTTGTCTCTACTCCCTACTAAATTACAAGTAAAGGGGTTTTTAAAAACCATGAACCCTCTTGGACAGGTTTGGCAAACTACAGACCATGGGCCAAATACAGCAAGCCACATGCTTTGGTAAATAAAGTTTGATTGGAACACAGCCATACTCATTCATTTACCTAATGTCTCTGGATGCTTTTACTTTACAATGGTGGAGCTGAATAGTTCCAACAACGGCCAAACAGCCCACATAGCATAAAATATTCACTATCTGGACCTTTACAGAAATGTTCACCAACTCTGCTCTAAGATAAAGAACAAGCAAGGAGCCAAACGCAACAAAATGTAGAGGAACAGAAAAGAAACGGACAAACAGAAACTAACTGGGCTGACCCAAAACAGTTGACCTCTGACCAGCTTGGCAGAGGAGGGGGTAATCAAAAATATAACTTTGATAAAAATAAAAGATAAATTAAAGAATAAGAATAGATAAAATTTGGGGAAAGCATGTACAGCTAAAACCTCTTATATACATAAACTCAGAAAATATAGCACCAATGAACCTTTCTTGAAAAAAATGTATTGCTATAATCAAATAAATAATCCGGAAATGGAGGGGGAGACAGATAAAAGCAGTGGTAGAGACTTGTAACCATTTCAATATAAAATTAAGATGAAATAACTTTGGGAATTAAGATAGAAAAACAGCATCAAGTATCATGTACCTTCACAATGTAAGAATAATGTCACCAAAAGAAACACAATTAGAAGATGGTGAGAAGGATAAGAAGGAATGTAAGAGTGCTAATTTCCTTATCTCCCAAGCAGAAAGTCTACTGATGTCTAAAAATGAAATTGTCATTTAAAAACAACCTGATAACTCCAACTACTCAATGTTATTTTTAATCTTTTCTTTTTCCTCTTGATCTTAAAAGTATCTTTAAGGGACTAAGGTCTCTGTGGCCAAGGAACATTTATTGAGATCTTAACTAATCATTTAGTTTCGCTTATCTTTTTCCTCTATAAAAGTAAAGTATAAAGTTAATACCTTTTAACTTAAAATAGCTTATAGAATATGATCCCATTTTTATAGAATTCTTTCTTCTCTCCATCTAATCTTTTTACCTTTATATGTGCACGGAGAACTGCATAAAATGTTCATCTACTCAATTATTATTCTGAGTAGAAAATCCTAATGACTTTTTTCTTTCTTCTTTGTATTTTTTACATTGCTTGAATATTGATAACTATGTAATGCCCAACACTGAACCAAAAAGGGAACAACCACCCAAAACAAGCACATATGAAAACTTAAAGAGCAATAGCTCCTTACGTTTTCTTTAGTTTTTTTACCATTATAGTATCCAGCAGCCAGGTGGTGGTGGGGCCGGGTGGGCATCCAGGCCAGGCTAAGGCACTGACCACATTCAGAGGGGTCTGAAGCTTGCACAGACCCCACCTGAAGGGTTGCTACAGGTTGTACCTGCAGGGACAGAAGAGATGGGTTAGGGTTAGGGATACCTACTGTCTGGAACGAAGGCTCAAATCAGTGTTCAATCCAGCAGAATGGGGAGATTTTTCAGAGTTAGAAGGAGACACTGTAGAAACAGTAAGGGAGGCTCTAGAAGATTGAGCCTCAGCTAAGGCAGCAGGTTCCTCACTCACCTTATAGATGGCAGGCTTCGTTGAATCTGTGAGGGGAAAAGAGCAATAACTGATACTCTGGATCCAGAGCACTGAGATCCTAATCAGCCTTGCTTAGATCAGCACCCCGCCCTTTCAGTAATCTCAATAATGACCTTCTCTGACACTTGACCCTTATCTTTCCACCATCCAATAGATGAACCTACCTCTCTCTGCTCCCCTTTTCTTACCTCCTGTTATGCTTGATAGTATCCTTCCTGTCAGAAGGGCCAATCCCTCCCCTCTGCTCTCTTCTCATCATCTCCCACCTTTTCCAGAAATTTGCTCTTTGATTACCCTTCCTTTCTGCATTATTCACTTTCTCTCTCCCCACTGGGTCATTCTCATATTCAGAGGTAAACATGCACTATTGTCTCCTACGTAAACCAAACAAAACCCTTCCTTTACCTCTAGCTGCCACCCTGTTATGTGTTCCCCTTCACAGCCAAACTTCCTGAAAATATCGTCTATCTGTTTGGTCTTCACTTCCTCACCTCCCATTCCCTCCTCAACCAACTCCACCACCAGACCACCAAGCATGGGATTTCTCAGAGTTCAAACCTGGGAACAGTCCAGTTGCTCATCTTCAGCTCTATTCTCTCTCTCTCTCTCTCTCTCTCTCTCTCTCTCTCTCTCTCTCTCTCCAACAAAGAGAGTGTTTCTGTGTATGTGTGAAGACAGGAGTGGCTGAGGACAGGATTGGGGGGACAAGGAGAGTATACCAGGGGAGACAAGCCCCATCCATCAGCCTCAGTCTAAAAGAATAAGACTGAGTTTTTAGCAGCTCTTTACACAGCCAATTAACTGTGGCCCAGAGTAGGGAGGCCTGAGAGCACAGGAGAACAGGGAAGCGGGGAAGATAAGGTAATGTGCTGAAAGTGTGCAGCTGTAAGTGTGCAAAGGAGAGTAGCACGTGTAGGCCGCTAGAGAGAGAGGTAAATAACAAAATATGAGGAGTCTGAATGGGAGGTGTGACTGAGTAAGGCTTTATCCTAGAGACTGGGCCCAGAGGAGTTTTGGGGGCGATGGACAGGCGCTGCTAAGCTCTGGCCACAGCTACAGCAGTCCCATTCTCCTTGCTATGGTACTCACCTGGGGGCTGCTCAGCTAGCAGGGCCTCAGGATGGGGCAGACTGAACAGCAGCACATTCCCGTCTGAGCAGGCAAGAGCCAAGAGACCCAAACGAGAAAGCAGAGGAGCCTGGAGGGTGAGACCAGATCTGCGCTGAGGCTTGCTGCCTTCAGGCACCTCTCAGGAAACGTTTTGAGGTTCTGGTCTCTGAAAGTATGGAGCTGCTGGAAAAAAACTCCATCCCCACTCTCCAACCTGACTTCCTCCAACTCTGAAAACTCCCAGGGCCTCTTTGTCCTGCCTCTGAGTCCTAGGGCCATCCCACAATCAACTGAGAGGTACCTTCCGAGGGGTGCTTGGAAGTTCCCATGCTCCACTGGGGCAGAACTTGAGGTCCCAGATGCAGCCGTTGTCACAAGCAATGCCATAGACAAAGTGGGCCCTACTGCCAGGACTGAGGAGAAAAAGCATGTGGGAGAATGGGTAGGAAGGAGGGGCCTAGGGCTGCACAGCCTATGTTCCCCTCATCTCAACTCAATCGAAGCCCTACTCACCTGCCCTCAACCCTGCCCAGCCCCATCCTTCTCTCCTCCTCACCACCCTCCCATGGCAGTGTCCCAGCCCCACCTCACCAGCTTTCTTGTTGCAAGGTCCCAAGGCCCCAGAGCTGGAGCAGCCCGGGACCCGAATGAAGCTGGCTCAGTGTGTGTGTCTCATTCATGTCAGGGCTGGAGTAAAGGGCCACATACTGTGAGGCTGCTGCCCCCTCTGGCACTGGGCACCAATCCAGAGCCCAGAGAGGTCCCCCTGTGAAGAAGGACACATCCAAGCGCTCTGGGTGGGCTGTGACCGAGCTAAATCTAGAGAAATGTCAAAGATGGGATAGAGAAAGGAGTTAACAAAACGTAATAAGGACTTCATAGGTGAACAGATAAATAAACTCACACATCCAAACAATGGAGTATTATGTGGCAGTAAAATCAGAAAATTCTGTCTGTCTTCTAGAATCAGAAAAAGAGATGTAATCTCTTCTAATACACTCTTCACCTGTTTATTCGGTAGAGTGTGCCGTCTTCGGGAAGTCCTTCACGTTGTACAGAAAACAGTGGAGACTTTTCCTCTTGGGGCAGATACGGAGCTGCCTCACTAGGGGAAGACAAAGGGAACAACAGACTGAATTTGGAAAAGCTGTACCCATTTGAGGATTCCCATCATCAGTCTAGAATCCTGTGTCACCCTTCCGTCTCCAGTGGTGTTGCCCCCTCCTAGGCTTCAAATATGTCTCTTCAACTTACAGTTCAGACAACAAGCGCCACTTCCAGGCTAAAGGAATCCAGTCTGTAAACTCCCAGTATGAATGCTTCTGTTCTCGGCTGGAAGAAAAGAAAAACCATTAAGGTTTTTAAGGAGAGAAATTCTAGAGCAGTGCAGTCCAAAAAAAACTTTCTGTGATTTCTGTTACCTGTCCAATAAACTAGCTGCTAGCTGGACACTTGAAAATGTGCCTAGTGCAAATGAGAAACTGGACTTCTAGGGTTAATTTTAATTGATTTAAAATTAAATGGCCACATGCAGCTAGTGGCTACCACATGGGACAGCACAGCTCTCCAGTTCCTGCCTGTGGAGTAATGCCGTTTATTTACGGATTCCGCCAAGTGCCTTCTTCCCTCTTTCTCACAGCCCCACTTCTAAGACATCCTTTGCACTCCACCACCACCCTTTCATCCCAGCCCCCATTCCCCAAGTCTCACATGTCCTTGGTGAGATGGAGGCACTTCCAAATGGGAGCCATGATGTAATTTGGTAAGCCATTGGGAGCCACACCCCGGCAGTGCGGCTTCTGCTTCTGAGGAGCAAGTCAAAGAAAGTATAAGAGGGAGAATTTTATAGGCTGAAGAAACTCCCCAGGAGACAGCTGTCCCAGCTTTTACTTTTCTTGGCACCACTTCTTTTCTATCCTCTGCCCTGTCAGGATCTTAAAAGATTTATGCTTCAGCCATTATAATTGGGTTCTCCACCTTCTGCTCCAACTCCTCCATTAAAACTGCAAAATCTGTTATCTATTTCTGATCATCTTCCTGGACATCTCTATGCACTTCTCTCAGAAGACTCCCATTTACTTCTTTTTTCCTTTTTTTTTTTTAGACTGCTATTTATTTTTTTTAATTGGGGAATTGGGGGAGGGGACCAGCCAAGTTGCTCTTCTTCAATCTTCATTGTGGAGGGCGCCAGTCACCATCTCGCTGCCTATCAGCAGCTGTGGCCTCTAAGCTCAAGGTGCTGTTTTCAATCTTAGTTGCAAGTGGGCGTAGCCACCATCCCATGCGCAAGTTGAACCGGAAGCCTTGTTGTTAACACTTTGTATGCGGGCATTTTCCCGCCAAATCGCGTCGTAACAAAGAGGTCTCTATACCTGAGTTAACCCCCGCGCTTTGGTATCACATTGTTTGTGGGAAACGAGTAAACTCGTCATAGCGCTTTAACTCAGGTATAGAGACCTCTTTGTTATGACGCGATTTGACGGGAAAATGCCCGCTTACAAAGTGGTATAAAAAGCGCTATGACGAGTTTACTCGTTTCCCACAAACAATGTGTTAAGAGCGCATGCCCTATCCACTGAGTCATCTGGGTGGCAGCTCAGCTCAAGTGCCAAGTTCAGTCTTCGTTGCAGGCAGGCGTAGCCCACCATCGAACAGGCAGTCTTGTTAGGAGCACGTGCTCTCACCAGCTGAGCCATCCTGCTACCTGTTGGCAGCTCAGCTTGGGTGCAGCGTCACTGGCCCATGTGGGAATCAAACCGGCGGCCCTGTTGCTCAGAGCTCGCACTCTTAAGCTCTTAACCAACTGAGCCACTCGGCCGGCGCCCATTTACTTCTTAAAACTCCTGCCCTATTGAGTAGTCTCTCCTGATTCCTCCCACCTCTCTCATATTCCTTTACAGGCTCTCCTTCCTCTGATAGGTTTGATCTATCAGAGGTATTTCCCAGAGTCCCTCTTAACTTCTTCTCAATCCTCTATATATGTATTGCTAGTAATCTCATTCCATGCCCCATGCCTTTGACTACCATCATTATACCTGATTATCAAGTTTACAACTTAGTAAACTCCCAACTTTACTCAGTTTCAACTTCTTTACAAACTCTAGAACCATACATTGGTGCCAAGTTATACTAGAGGCTGAGACAAAAGGAAAGATCAGTAATACAGTTCCTGTCTAGTTAAAATTTTGATAGTTTGTTCATTATAGATTTGTTAAATTTTGATTTTTGAAAATGCTGCATCAAAATCTATCTGGGGCCGGCCGAGTGGCGCGTTGTTAAGAGCTTGCTTGGGACTCCAGCTCTGAGCAGCAGGGCCCCAGTTCGGATCCCACATGAGGGCCAGTGATGCTGTGCCCTCTACAGCTAAGATGGTGAACAACAGCTCAACCTGGAGCTGGGCTGCCATGAGTCGCTGGCAATGGTGTAGGCTGCAGCCCCTGCTGCAGTGGGCTGCCATAAACTACCATGTGTGGCTCGCAGCCAGCATGAGCGTCCGGCAGCCGCTGTGAGCTGCCAAGAGCCGCAGTGAGCGGCCGCAGAGGCCGGCAACGAATCTGCCTCATCCGGGAAGAGTTCAATGATAATACCAACATGGGCCAGTGAAGCAACGTCCTCCATAACTAGACTGAAGAAAAAAAGACAGCGACTTGTCTGTTCCCCTTCCCTGATTCCCCAATAAAATCTTTTAAAAAAAATCTTTATCTTGATTTCTGAGGGATTTGGTGCTCCCCTAAATGTTGCACTTGAGACAAGTTAAGGCACTGGTCCCATAAATATATGCCTGGTGACCAGATGTCCCCAGAAGGATGGTCAATGGCCCACAGGCACCTCCAACTCAACATGTCAGAAAGTGAACTGATCACCTGCCCTGCCGACCTTCACCCCTCTCCTGCGTGTCCCACTCATCTTGAGTTCCCAAGATCAGCACGAGAGCACCACCTAAGCTGGAAACTCCCATTCCTTCCTTTCCTTCATTTCCCAAGTGCTGTTAATTCTTATATTCCTCTTGAATCTGCCTTCTCTTCCTGCACTACTTGATTCAGGCCCTCACTATCTCTCCCCTGGATCACTGAAGCTGTCTTTTAATTGTCAACTGCAAACTGACCTATTTTCCTACCTGACCATGTTATTTTTCTACTTAAAAACCTTTGTGGTATAGGGTTTCTATTTGGGATGATGAAAAAAGTCTTGGAAACAGACAGTGATGATGGTTGTACAACATTGTGAACTATACATTTTTAAGTGGTAAGTTTTCAGTTATACATATTTTATCATAACTAAGCAAACAGACACCTTTGTTGACTCCTATCAATCTTAGTCCTTCATTCTCTCTAGTTTAATCTCCCCACCACTTGACCCCAGGCCGTATGCTGCAACCATAGTCCATTTCTGAGAAAACCCATCTCTCTGGCAACCTTCCATTCACCTTTCAAGACCTAGTTCAACCATCATTCCTCTGTGAAGCCTAAGCAGTTAATCACCACCCCTCCTCCATATGCCTAAAGCATCTTGCTCACTCACTCCTGGTCTAGCACTTACCACACTGAATTTAGTGAGGCAGGACTGTCTCATCCACATTTGTGTTTCTTAGCACAGAGTAGATGCTCAATATATGAATGAACAATCTTGTTTGCTTATACCCTCAGCCCCTGCAATCTCAATTGTATTTGAAGTTGTTCTTTTCTTCTTCTACCTCTTTTGGCCATCACAGTTACTAGCCCAAAGCTTTCCTTCTGGGTACCCTGCTGACCCCCTAATAATCCTATTTCTCCATCCATTTTCTTGTCCATTTAAGTTACCACTGCAGCGGATCCTCGGGGCATGGGAGGCTCGGGGTCAGATGAGCTCTCACTTGAGGCCTCCTCACTTTCTTCTTCATCTTCAGTCTCAACCTGGAAAACAAAGTCTTCATCTGGTGCAGTGTCAGCCTCTTCTTCTCCACCTTGACAGTCTGCCTGTTCCTGGGTTTTCTCTGGTTCGGTGGGGCTGCTCTCCTTGGGGCTCTCAGGACAGGGCACTGGAGTAGGCAGGGTTGTTGAGAGCTCGTCAGCCAGTTCCTGAAGATACATAAGCGCCCTGTGGGATAGGGCAGAGTCAAAGCCATAGTCAAACATTTAACTAAGAGCCCACTTGCCCAGACTCTTGGCTGATTCTTATCTCACTGGATTCTCCCAGCGACCTGTGAAGCAGCTATTGATTTCCCCTTCCCTTTTGATAGATGAAGAAACAGAAATGCAGGAAAGTTAAGTGACTCAGCAAAGATGATTCAGACAGTATATGTGGGAGCTAACCCCAGGTTTTTGGAACCCAAGTCCAAAGCACTTTTCCCTCTACCAGTAAAAAATCATGGAGGACAAAGAAAAGAATGGAGGATATATATATATATATATATATATACTGATATATACTGGGTGGTTGCAATGAAGATGTGGGGGAACTTGTGAAAAATGTGAGAGGACACAAGATACAGAAAGAAACCTCCTAGACAGACACAGTTAGCAACAGATAAAAGTTGTTGTGGTAGGAGCTAGAAGAACGCTCAAGTCCCCAGAACCCAGACACCATCCCCCCTTACCTGACGCCTCATCATAGTCTTCTTCTCTCTCCAACATCTGCCCCACCCAGATCCCTTCACCCCAAACCACTCCACCAAGCTGTGCCCCACAGTCCTTACACTTGGGCAGCCCTTCGGCGGGGTCGTTCCCCAGGCGGGGTTTCAAAGTCCTCAGGGGGCCTCTTTGGAGGTGGCGACTTTGGCTGATCTACGCCTTTTGACAACTTCAGCAGGAGCAGCTCTGCCTTGGACTTCCGACCTCTTTTCTTAGGCACGGGAGCAGATAGAGGGTTGGATTGATCTAAGAGACCAGGAACCAGAGGGGCTGATGGAGGATGAGGCTGTTGTTGGGGTCTTTTTGAGCCTTTCCGTGTCCTACCACCTCTCTTCCGGCCAGGCTTTGAGGCCCTAGGCTTTGAGACCTTTGACATCTCTGAAGAAAGATCTGTAAAGAATATGGGTCTGTGAGATGGGACCAGAGCTCAAACCTCTTTGGAACAACTACACCATACCCAGGTTTGTAAGATCCTGTGAGCTCAACCTGCTCTTTCATCTTAAGACAAGCATGAGGAGACAAAAAGATGAAAGGAGAAGGTACACACCTTGCTGTTCCAGCCTGGAGAGGCTTTCCTGTTCTGGAGGGAGCTTCCTCTCATCAGGAGAATCCTCAAATCCAGGTAAAGACATCTCTATGGAAGTCTCCGTACTAGCTGTTTCTGAAGAGGTCTTGACATCAAGCTGGTTTAGCACCTCTTGTCCAGGAGAATCTACTACAGTCATGTTCCCCACGGGGCCGGCCTCCCCCAGGGCAACACAGCCGACCCCGCAGGTATCCATCAGCACCCCCTAAAATGGCAGCCCCTGTATACAGAGACATACAAATGAGTAGTAGGCAAGAGCTATTTGCATTGGCTCAGATTTTTCTACTTTCCTGTCTCTTCTCCCCTCACCCCCCAGCCCCTAGATCAGAAACCTAACCTCCCCTGATCATTCATTCGTTCAGTAATAATTACTAAACATCTTCTAAGTGTCAGTCACTGTTCCAAGAACTAGTTATGCAACAATAAACAAGACAGACAAGGTCTCCGCCCTCATGGAACTTACAGGCTAATGGAGATGACAATAAACAAATAATAATATGGCTACCACTTATTAAATGATTACTATGTGCCAAGCACTGTACTAAGTGCTTTATTTACATTATTATTTTAAAGCTCTTAAGTTTTCTTGTAAGGATACTGCAGTGAATGCCTTGAGCTAACGTTTATCTTTGTGAACATTAGTCAAGAAACATATTTAAAAATAAGTAAAACAGTTCTCTAGTACCCTGCCACCAATCTTTCACCTAGATGGGGGAGGTGGCAGGCTTTGAAACAATTAAGGAACATCTTACTATATTAAGAGACCCTTTCCACATTGAAAACTGGACTAAAAGAATGGTTATGAATCTTCATTTTCTTCAAACCCAGGAAATCAGCTGTGCAACCAGGGACCAAGTAAACTGACAGATAAACAAAATATTGACTACCCAATCAAAAACCTGAGGCACAGAGAACTCTGCAAGGGCATAATTTTTGGCCATAATAACCTGCTTGTCTGTGACAAAGGGGGAGAAATAGCTCAAATCCCAGGAGGGAACCTCCCGTAGGTCTGTACATGTGTTAAAAATAAAGAAATCATCAGCCTCAGTGGCAAAGCATGCTAATACAAACACCTCAAGAAATATCACACACATTTAAGTCCCCAACTGTCTCTCTTGAAGAAGCTACAAGTCTAAGCAGATTATAAACTGTAACAATAGCCAACCCTCTAATTCAGATGCTAAGGATACAATATAACATCATCTGCTAAAGACAGAATACAACAATGTCAAGGTAAATATAAGTCAATGAAAATCTACCTACACTGTTCTTTGGTAAATAGCAACCAATGACAGACTACTCCATTCAAAATTAGTAATAAGCAAAAAGGATCCAAATGGAACATATGCACAGACACTACAGAAAAAATACAAAAGACACAAACAAATGAAAAAAATGAAAAGCACCCCTTTCAAAGAAAGGCTCCAGAAAACCGAAGAAAATTCCCAACAAAAGCTTCTGTGTTTTCAAAAAACCGGAGACTGGAATTCAAGAAATGAAAGATCAAAGAAAAGAAATTGAGTAAAGGAATAAAATCAGAGAAATGAAAACCAGAGAAGCAAAACATTGAAACTACACTGAAAAAAAGAAGGTGATACGAAGGATAGGTTTGAGAAAAACCACATAGGTTGCAAAGAGACAAAAATGATTACAGAGAAAATGATATAGATGAAAAAGAGAAAATGGGAAGACAATATATGAATAATTGATGTTCCTAAAGAAGAGGGGAAAAAAATGGGAACAGGAAAAAAAAAATTTTTTTTAACAAAAAAAAAGAAAAATTCTCCTAAAATAAAGAAAGATCTCAGTCTACAGGTATGTTGATGAAAAACATCCAGCCTAAGAGAAAACGTATAAGAGTTTATTTGAGCCACACTTACGACAATTACAGGGAAGTAAAATCTCAACGGATTGAGAAAATGCTCGGCGAAATGGCGATTTGCAGCTTATTTTATACATAAAATCAAAGGAGGAAGGTTACATGAAATCCATTGGTGATAGATTAACGGGTTGGGAAAGAGGGAAATCTCTGGGGTTGGATAAAGGTAAACTGAAGATAGGCACTTGTTTTTTTACACTGGTGGGTGCAGAATAGTTAACAGTTGGCTTTTTACAGCACATAGAGATGGTAATCAGGAAGAAAGCATGATAATGAGGAATTTTGCAGTTTCCAGCTCTGGTCCGGAAAAAGGATTACTGACATTCCAAAGATGTTATCTTAGGTGCAAAAAGACAACCAACAGACCCACTGAAAAGACACAGATTAACTTTATGAAGGAAGCTAAAGATGTGACTTCCGGCCATGGCCCACTTAGTCATGAAATTTTGTTATGCTCATGCCATCTTATGTGGTTATTTTCAGTCTCCTGAGTTTGTCAGGTTAATATGTGGCCCCTTTTCCGTCCACAGGTACAAAGGGATTACAATACAAAAGGAAAACAAAAAGCAATAAAGAATCAAGGTCAAGAAGTATTTTAATGAAAATACTAAATTTCTCCTACAAAGGGGGGGAGGGTCAAGTTGGCCTCAGAGTTCTCAGAAACAATTGATTCCAGAAGATAAAGAAACATGAAAATGATCAAGAGAATTCTTTACTTAACTAGGATGTCCTTCAGGTAAAAGCAACAGTATGGCAATCTCAATATGCAAGTTTCTAGGAATTATAAAACTTAAGCACCCTTACTTAAAAAAACCCACTTGATGACCTACTTTAGCCAGTGAAAAGATAAATCAATATCAAGAACTTTTTAATGGAGAAGCTGTGGTATGAAGATTGGCAGTAAGCATTTAACCCAGTGATACATCAATTGAGGTTAAACAACCATGGTAACTACAGCTATAAAACAGACTAACTTAAAATTTTTAAAGGTCCTACAATGTAAAAATAACAGCATTCTGGTTGTAGAGGACTAAGACAAAAGAAGAAGTATCTTAAGTTTCTAAGGCTGGTAAGATATAGATTTATTAATACCATTTAGATGTTTAATAGAAGCAGTATACTATATTGCTTCCAAAATACCCAGTAGAACCCTAAGAACCAGAAGGAATTTTTAAATACCACATAATACAAGATTAAAAATAAGGCGCACACACACACACACACACACACACACACACACACACACACACACACAATAATCCCACCGATGACAGAAGATAAAACATTATAACAGTAAACATATATCAGATAAATTTTAAGAGAAGTCTAAAACAAAGGATCTCAAAAAGCTGAAAATAAAAAGATGAAATAAAATATACAGGGCAAATGTAAGCAAAAAGCAAAAAGGGGTTTTGATGGTAATAGTGAATTTGAATTTGGGGGAAAAGTATTAAATGGGACAAAAAAGGAAGAGCTTTATAATGAATAAAACTTCAGATCATAAAAAAGATATGTCAAGACTTTTAGACATCCAAATACATAAAGCAAAATCTTTAGGAAATACAAGAACTACTTCCTTTAATCATTACCTACATCAAGTAAGTAAGGACAGAGATGTGAATAAAATGATTATTGCCTCTTTATTGGTCCAGATTCAGTTGCATAAGAATCCTCTCTAGTCTGTTCCGAGCTAAAAGGGACTTAATTAAAGGGTATGAAATGGCTCACATTAGTGAGTCTCAAAGTGTAGTCCCAGACAGCATCGGTGTCACTTGGAAACTTGTTAAAATGCACCAGACCTACTGAATCAGAATCTGTGGGATGGGGCCAGCGCTTGTTATAATAAGTCCTTCAAGGGACTCTGATGTATATTCAAGTTTGAGAATCACCTGCATAGATCACTGGGAGGCCTGAGGGGGCGGGGGGAGGGGCAGTTTAGGCACAAGTGCTAGTCAAATTGGGAAGTTGTTTTATAGCTGTTGATTCAAGAAGCACATGGCCTTTCCTATGCCAACATGGGGAGCCACCTGCTGAATTAAGAAGCCCCTGCCACAGCTGATGGCTTCATAAACAAGCTGATTCTGCAATAATCAGAAAGTGACCTGAGTAAATGGGGAAGACACTCCTCTGGCTCCCAGATCCAAAATCATACAACTGCCACAATCTGCACCAGCAAAATGCACTTTCTGGCCTGCCTCGCCTCTCTCCTCTCTAAACTCAGGTCGAAATGTGAATTCTTCAAGAGCACATTTGATGGGCAAGACCTAAATCATATTCAGAATCTTGGATGGTAAATTTCCAGGAAATGAAATTTCTAGCTTTCCGGGCTCTCAGGGCCACTCATTTTCTCACATCCCACTTACCGCAGAGTAGAAAGTGTGATCAGTGTTTTCCTAATTCCTCTCCAATGCCACTTCTTGACCAATAGTCCTGCTCTTGTAAAAACATTGTTCCTTTGAAGCTCATAACATTCAGCGAAAGCACTGCTAATCGCTCTGCTGTCACACCGTGGATGCTGTCATCACATAAAACCTTTTAACCTCCAAAATCACTAAGACATCCACTTTCTGATCACAACCTCCCATCATTACAGCTAGATGGCTCAACTACTATTCCTACATCTATTCTTCAACCATATGAAGCCACTATCCATCAATCTCTCCAGTTTCTCCCTATGGCGGCCTCATCCAATCTAGCTTAGATTCCTTTATTTTAATCAGACTCTTGTTGATATTATAAATTTCCTTTCTTGTCTTTTTGTTTCACAGGCCTGGCAAAATTCAAGCCCTGGATGAATCGATCATCCGTCTTGTCTCTTTCTTCAGTCATTCCCATACCCTCTCTCTTCCAATGGCTCATCCCCTGCTTCTCAGATGACTTTGCCTCTGATTTCTGAGACAAAACCCAAAGCGAGTACTTTAATATCTTGTTATGTAGCCTAACATTCTCTGCACCTAAACCCCTCCCTCATCCGCTTTCTATGGCCAAACCTTCCACTTGGGTTCTAGCCCCATTGCCTTTCCTCCCTAAGGAAACTGGAGTTATCCTTTTTCTTCCAAACAGCATTCAAATGTTTAAAATTCTCATCATAACACACACTATTATCCTTCAACCCATATTCCCCCTCCAACAAATCTTCTCCTCCCCCTCATAGTTAAACTTTTGAAAAAGTTGTCTGCCCTTATTTTAATTACCCTGCTTCATCCTAACTAGAATATTGCCTCCAACTCATCACTGAACCTAAAGTCATCAATAACTGCTGTCAATTAATCCTACTGACAACTTCTCAGTCTTGCTTAACTCGACCTTTCAGCAGCAACGAGGTACTTACCACTCCCTTTCTTGAAACATCCTCTTTTCTTGAGAAGCAATTCAAGTGCAGTAAACTTCCCGATTTTTACCAAATGTTCCTCCATCTTTTACAGTTGTCTCACTGACGCCTATTTGGCAGCTTTCTTGCTTGTTTGCAAACTCACCTCTTTTTGTTTTCAAAGCATTCAACTTAGTTTGCTTTCTTTTCTAGAAATTTTTTTTTTTTACTAGTTTCAGGTGTACAACACAGTGCAATAGTTATACTTTTTACCCTTCAAAGTGACAACTCCCCTCCCCTTTTCTAGAATTTTATAAAACTTTTAGTTGACATAAAATACTTATAAATGTGTAGAATATAAAGAATAACAATAGGGCCGTCCGAGTGGTTCAGTTGGTTAAGAGCTCACTCAAGAGTTTGAGCTCTGAGCAACAGCAGTTCGATGCCCGGACCGAGCTGAGCAGCTGCTGAGCTGCCAAAAAGTGGCAGGATGGCTCAGCTTGAAATTTAAAAAAAAAAAAAAAAAAAAAGGAATAACAATAAAACACCTGTGTATTTGCCATGTTTCAACTTAGTTTTAATAGAGATAACTCATACTCAAATTTCTTTAAAATTTAAATATATGACACAATTAGATAAATATAATGACAAATCAACTGAAATAAACAATTCAGGAACCAATACAACTAGACTTGGCAAGCATTCAACTCAGCTAGTGGGGGTAGAGTGACCAGGCCTATAGGAGAAAAGCCCATAGAGGGCTTTAAGCCTTCAGTGTGCCAAGGGCATCAGTATGTATGCTTTACAAAGGAAATGGGAACTATCAGTTAACATAGGGAAGTTAAATGAATAAGCTAAGGGGACGTCTACATGTCTTAAAGATTTTGCATATCAGTATGCATACATCTCATTCTTAGTTACTATATGCTGTTTCATAGAATTATAGTTTAATTAGATATTCCCCATTTAAGGATAATTGGGTTATAATATTAATATAAACAATACAGCAATGCATGTTCTAGTACAACTTCATTAATGAGAAATTATTTTTCTAGAATGAACATCTGAAGTGGAATTACTGTACTGGGTTGAAGAGTATGCACACCTCAAAATTTGATATTGCCAAACAGTTCACCAAAACGAAACCAATTTATATGCCCACAAACTGTATAGCAGTAGCCCTTTTACCACATCCTTGCCAATCTTTAATTGTTGCCAATCTGATGGGTGAAAGAATTCTTCCTTATTGTATTTATTTTCATTGACCTGATAATAATTGAGGTTAATTTTTTTATATGTTGGGTATCTATGTGTCTTTTATGAACTATCTGTATATATAATTTGCCTGTATTTCTATACAGCAAATTGATCTTTTCCTTGTTGATCTGTGGAGTTACTTATGTTGCAAATATTTTCTCTCTGCATCTACTTTTGTTTATAATGTTCTTCCGAAACTGAAGTTAAATTTTATGAGTTAAATTTCACAATCTTCTTTATGGCTTGTTTTGCGTCTTGAAAATGCATTTTCTACCCCCACTAAAATAAATATATCCTATTTTATTTTCTTCTAATGTTTTTCTAATTTTGAATCTTGCATTTTGCTCTTTAGTCTATCTGGAATTTTCTTATGATAAGAGATATGGGTATTTATTGATTTCATTCTATCTTCCCTGAAAGCTTCATAAGATAGGGGTCTTGCCTATCTGACTCACTATTGTATCCAGAATCTGCTACATGGTTAAGTGTAATAATTAACCTTTGTTCATTAAATCGCTAACTTCTCAGGGTACAAAAATCCCTTTAAAGATTCTCTTCTTGGGGGGAAGAGGAGTGCGTAGTTGTGGCGGGGAGGGAAAAAAAAAAGACTCTTCTTATAGAAGGCAACAGCATGGTATGGTGGTTAACTTGCATTTATGATTTCACAATACAAATGTAGGGTGCAAGTAAAGAAAGAATCAGTAAATTTGTACTAAAGTTTGTAAAATTTTACATTTGCACCCCAACTTGTCTGGTTCCCATGCTGCTCCGGGCTGCCAGCCTGACCTCCTCAGCCAAGCAAAATACTTAGATAACACTATTCCTCAAATGTGGAATTCTTTTAAACATCCTGCTTCTAATATACTGTTTCCCAAAGTGTTCCTATGATACAACTTGTGGTGTGCAAGATTTTAGTGGTACAAAAATGTACAATTTTGATTAATTGCGTTAACTTGTACAAAACACTGTAACAAGCCCGTGAAACCCATGGTTTCGCCTATATTGCTTAGAGAATAAAACACTTTAACTTCAAAAATAAATCAATTTAAAGTAAACTATTCAGAAAATATCTGTATAGTTGATAAGAATGGATGGCAAAAAGTGACGATGGCACAGGAATGGCTTAAGTTTGTGTAAAAATACTCCGCTGGAGCGAAGACGCTCGGCCATGCCCTACACCACTCTAACCAAGTGAGTTATCACGGATGGGGTGGAAATCGTCACCTCTGCCTTCCCCGGCAGACAGCCACTTGCCACAGGGATAAAATGGACAGGGAAACATAACTGGCCCTTGGCTACGCCAATGGGGCTGCAGCGCGCGGGGCACAACCCCCCAGGTTAGAAGAGCCTCAGCGAGAAAGAGGCTGGGACACAGCAGAATGAGGCAACTTACCCTCAACTACTAAAGGGTTGACTACTTGCCCTCCCTCAGTCCTGGGCGTGGGGGCAGCTTTCAACACTAGCCTGGGAGTCCAGCCCTGAGTTTCTAAGGCTGAGAACTACTGTAGGTTCGCAGAGTAGAGGGAGGTAAACAGCGCCGAGGCCGGGACACAGAATGCCGTGTTACCGACACCGTGTGGGGGAAGAAGGCAAGACTCGTGGTTAGCTGAAATGGATGCACGCTTGCCCCTATGGAGAAGGAAGTGGAGAGCCTGATAGTTTCTGTAGCAGCGCAGGGGCTGGAGGTCGCGATGCTATGCAGAGAGGGAATAGTGGAGCCGGGAGTTGGTTCTCAATATCTTAGTACTACCGAAAAAGGAGGAGACAGGAGTAATCGTGAGGCCCCTCGCACAACGCGCTGCGGTACACTTACCCTCACCAAAGTCCTTCCGGAAGTCCAAGTTCGAAGATGGCGCCGCCCGTCTTGTCGCGGTTTTATGACGAAACCTGGTAGCCACTCTTCATTGATGCTTCACCCCCACCCCAGCCGCCGCCGCCAGTGCACAAGGTAAACACGTGAGCTTGGTCGAGAATTTATGCCCGAAGACGTTTTCTGTTAGACTATGTATTCCATAATGCAGTTCGGCGAGAGGTCCCGAGCCCTCTCGGAGCGAGCGAAGCTCCTGGGCTTTAGCGGCGCCGAAGACACTGCATGGCCTTATGGGAATTGCAGTGTCTAGAAGGGAAGATTGACGCCTGCGCAGTGACGGTCGTCGCGCCCTCGTTGGTTCCCACGCGGCCTCTACACGATCTTCGAGTGTGTTGTTGCGCCCGAGCGCCGAATCCTGGCTTTCCTTTAAGACTTCGGGTCCTGTGGCGGGCAGGGCTAGTCCAGACGTGAATTTTTACCTGCAAGCTGTGCGCTGTTCGAGCCGAAGACAGAGACTGGGAGACAAAGGCATCCTTGCCACCGGCCGCTAGAGGATGCAACTCTGGTCTCTGTCGCGGGGCAACCCCCCAGCAGATCCAGCCACTGGTGAAGTCAAGGATGGACACGAGACAGAAACGCAGTGAAAGGGGGCTTCAGAAAAGCACGGGAAAGGGAAGGAACGGGTAGAAAAACCTGACGTGGGGACGACGCACTCGAGTGAGCCTCGGGCTTGGACCCTGGCTTTAGTCATAGGCTTTGCCCCATTCCCTCACTGGGAGGTGGGATGCGGGTGAATAAAGAATATAATAAAGTTTCTGCTCTTTCCTGAAGCATTTAAAGTCATATGCGTTTCACACGTCTCCACAAACCAAGTAGGAACGTCAGGATGTATAAATATGAACTGGAAGGGGTGGCGTAAACCCTCTCTCTGCCCAAATACTCTCACCTACTAAATTTCCTTGCTTGCCCAAAACATTTTTTAAAAGCCTGGGAGGAGCTAGCTAAGATTTATTAACTGGAGTAAAGGGACTTCCATTTCCGCCCCCCACCTCCACCCTCCTCACCCCCCCTTAGTGGCCTAAGCTTAGGACCAACTCCTTTGTGAGAGTGCAAAATTGTGTGCAGTTGAGGCTTCAGTTCCCCAATACATCATATCTTGAATGCTTGTCTGATGGACAGCTCTCAGTTTCAAACATTTACCTCTGTAATGAACAGATCTGTCTTTCCATTCCTGTTTCCTCAGAATAGGCTATCTTTGAAGAACTATTGCAAAATCTTTTTATATTAATGATTGTATTTATTTTTGTAGTAAGACATTCACATGGCTCAAAATTCAAGATACAAAGTCTATAGACTCCCACCTGTCTCCAGCATCCCCAGACCACGTCTACATAAGGAGTTTACAAGTCCAAGATGTTTTTGTATTTATACACCTATGCATATATGTTTACCCCCTTTCAAATAGCAACTACACACACACACACACACACACGTCTTGCACTTTGCTTCTTTTAACTGAGTGTACCTTGGAGACTGTTCCATTCCTGTACATAAAAACCTTCCTCATTCTTTGTTATGACTGCTTAGTATTTAATTATATAAATGTATATTATTTAATTAGTACCTTACTAATATTGGATATTTAGGAGGTTTCCAGTCTTCTAAAATTATAAACAATGCAGTTGTAAATAACCTTGTATCTAAGTTACTTCAAATGTGCAACTATATGGGGAACATCAATTCCTAGAAGCAGGATTATTAGACCAAAGTTCGGGTGCATTTGTAATTTTTAGAGATAGGCAATTTTTTTTTTTAAGGGGAACAGACAAGTTGCTGTCCTTCTTCAGTCTAGTTGTGGAGGATGTCACTTCACTGGCCCATGTTGGTATTGTGATCATTGTGCTCTTCCCGGTTGGTAGAGGCAGAGTGGTCACCGACCATTAGAAGGCCGCTCACGGCAGCTGACGCCGGCTGCTGTACACTCCTGGTAGCTCACAGCAGCTCACTGCAGCCTACGCTGTCGCCGGCGACTCACAGCAGCCCAGCTCCAGGTCAAGCTGTTGTTCACCATCTTAGCTGTACAGGGCGCAACATCACTGGCCCAGGTGGGATCCGAACCGGCGGCCCTGCTGCTCAGAGCTCACGCTCCCAAGCCAATTCTTAACCAACGAGCCACTCGGCCGGCCAAGAGATACGCAATCTTTTAACTGATCTGTTTCTCTGCTAATATCTACCAGTTACCTTTCTAAAGCAGAGAACTGACCCTGTTGAACCTCTGCTTAATTTTGGTGATTGAGTAGTATGCTCAATATATAAAAAACCACAAGTTCATAATAATCTTTTTTTAAATAAATAATTAAGTGAACCTCTGAGGTGTTTTTGCTAGTTGCTTCAGGATCCCCAAAATGAGGAAGCTATTTTCTGCTGTCTAGTATAATGATCTTTTTAAAAAGAAAAAGCCAAAAAAATCAACTAGTCATTGTACACCCCTGGAAGTAACTAGTGATCAATTCTCGAAAACTAGCAAATAAAAGGTACAAATTATGCATTTATCCTGCCTTTCCAGTATGACTGTAATTCAGAATAAAAGCTGATGAGAGGTAGTTCTTTTTAAAAGATTTTTTTAATTGGGGGAGGGGACCAGCCAAGTTGTTCTTCTTCAATCTTCATTGTGGAGAGCGCCAGTCACCATCTGGCTTCCCGCGGCAGCTCATGGCTTCTAAGTTCAAGGTGCTGTGTTCAATCTTAGTTGCGGGTAGGCGTAGCTACCATCCCATGCGGGAGTCAAACCAGCAGCCTTGTTAAGAGCGGACGCTCTATCCACTGAGCCATCCGGGTGCAGCTCAGCCCAAGGTGCCAAGTTCAGTCTTAGTTGCGGGTGGGCATAGCCCACCATCAAACCAGCAATCTTGTTGTTACACCAGCTGAGCCATCCTGCCACCTGTTGGCAGTTCAGTGACAGCTCAGCTTGGGCGCAGCATCACTGGCCCATGTGGGAATCAAACCAGTGGCCCTGTTGCTCAGAGCTCACGCTCTTAAGCCGACTCTTAACTGAGCCGCTCGGCCGGCCCCCAGAGGGAGTTCTTTATAGAAGATTGTCAGCTAGTAAATGTGGAATGATAGAATTGGGGGGGTGGAGACACACCATTTTTGCATCATCCCCTAATGACAAAATTTAGGCAACAATCACCAGTGGATAAAACCACTAAGTGAAAGTTTATCAGAAAACTAACACACTTGGATCCACGAATCACTGAAAATGAAACAAGCAACCATTATTTGCCTCCTGATGTGAGGCAATATGAAAACAGTCAACCTGGTTTCTGGAGCAAGTCAATGTAACGAGAAAAATGGAGGGGTGGGGAAGACTGCTTTTGATTATGAAAAATAAGATGATAATCAAATGTAATGTGTGGATTTGTTTGGATCTTGATTCAAACAAACCAACTGTAAAAAGCCATTTTTGAGACAAGAAAATTTGATTATGGATTGGACAAAAGATTGTAGTAAGTACTATGGTACATTTCCAAATTTTTTAGACATACACCGAAGTTTGTAGGAGTAAAATGTTAACATCTGGGATTTGCTCTAAGTAACTTCAGTGAGGCAAAAAAGGGAACAAAAGAAAGCAAATGTGGCAAATCTGGACAATTATTGTATCTGGTGCTGAGGATTCTTTGTATAATAGTTCACTCTACTTCTGTGCTGCTTGAAATTTTTCAATAAAACACATACACAGGGCCAGTAGAGTGGTACGTTGGTTAAGAACTGGCTTGGGATGCCAGACGGCCGCGGTTCGGATCCCAGTGACACTGCCCTCTACAGCTAAGATGCTGAACAACAGCTCAACCTGGAGCTGGGCTGCCGTGAGTCACCAGCGATGGTGTAGGCTGCAGCCCCTGCTGCAGTGGGTTGCCATGGGCTACGGTGTGTAGCCAGCAGCCAGCGTGAGCGGTCCTCAAGCCACCATGAGCGGCCGTCCAGAAGCCGGCGACTGATCTGCCTTGCATGGGGACAGCGCAATGATGGTGCCAACTTGGGCCAGTGAAGCAACGTCCTCCACAACTAGACTGAAGAACAAAAGGACAGCAACTTGTCTGTTCCCCTTCCCCAATAAAAAATCTTTAAGAAAAACAAAAAACCCCACATATATACAAAATAGATGACTCTCCTCTTTTAATGCCAACCACAATGGTTACTCTCACATTTTGGCCCCAACCCAACTTACCTTTGCAGCTTTATCACTCACTGTACACATAAGCCTTGGTTCTAGCCTCACCACAAATTTTAAGGCCTATTCTGTCTTTTGTGTCCAAGCTATTTCCTCTGCTGATCTGCCTTCCTGTTCTCTTCCAACAGGGAAACTTATCCTTCAAGGACTAGGTCAGATGTTACCTGTGAAGTCTTCTCCAACCTTATAGATCTGGCATCGTCCTTGGTTGCTTCTGAGGGAGGAACAGTGTTCATACTACTAGTAGTCTTTCATATTTCATATTATAGTATTGTGTCTTCCTCCACCATGATGAGTATTTATTAACGGCAGGAAGTACTGACAGTTAAGAGCACAAAAGTTAAGGGCAGTCTCTGGGTCCAGAATGCCTGAAATCACATGCTGGTTTAGTTACTGTTATCTTGGGCAAGTAACTTAACCTCTCTGTGCCATATCTGTGTTGCCTTGGCAAATAACAACCACTTTGTGCCTCAGTTTTCTCATCTTTAAAATCTCACTTCATCGAGTTGGATTAATCTTCCTAAATGGGTAAGAAAGGCATTAGAACCGTTTTTGACACAGAATAAGTGCTCAATACTAAGGATACCAAACACTTACTAATATGTAACTATTTAACACAAATATTGTTTAATATAAATATTATTAATTCATAACAGTAAAGCTAGAACTCTTATTTGTCCTTATACTCCTCCTCATATCTAGCTGAGTGTCTGGCACACAGATGCTTGGTAAATGGTTGATGACTTGGGATAGTTTTTGGTTTCCATACTGACCTTCACTTTGGCCCCAAAGCACTGGCATGGAGCTAGTCACCTGAGAGGATCTCCATAAAGGTCTGATGTTGGTAGCAGGTGCTAAGAGGGGTTGGGGAGTCTGGACTCTTGAACTAAGTGGTGGCGATGGTAAAAAAGACAAAGGCAGCATAGTTGCTGAGTGTGGGGAGTATGTCCTTTATTGAGCCTGTGTTCCCCCACTCACTGGTCACTACTTTTGACTCGTAAGACAACAGGTACAGAACTGCACGGGATCATCCCCAGCTCCGTAATCACCAGATCCACAAGCTCTGGGGGAGTCACATCATAGACCAGATTCAACAACCGTAGGGATGGGTGCTTCTGCCAGTCAGCCAGGGCTACATGTTCTCCTCGCTCACACAGCAGGTCATCAGGATCATCTACAATGGGAGGTGTATCCATTTATATCCTTTTAGAAAGCAAGTTGTGGTTCAACCTCCCCTCTCCTCAGATCTTCTCAGGTCCCTGGAACCTTCTCTGTGCCCTCCTGGGCCTGCTTACCTAGCTCATTAGAGACAAAGGCATCAGTCTGCACACGCTCACAGAACTTGTATGTTTCACAGCAGACCAGCACTGGCACATTATGGGCTCGGGCCACCAGGGCCAGCTGTGCTGTCCCTACCCGTGACATCACAGACCCATTGGCCAGGAGTGCATGAGCTCCCAATAGCACCTTAGAAACCTATGTTGGAGAGTAGAGAGGGGGTAAAAAATGTCATCTGTGATCAATGCAGAATA